CTTTCACAGTATAAAGGGGGGATGGTCCGGTTTTTTTTGGGGGGGGTCCGATTTGAACTGTCTTGGATGGTTACGGGGGGTCTGGGCAACATGCCGCCCTTTCATGGCCGGTTCGGGGGGGTCTAGAACTGCTCGTCTGCGAGGGCTGTGCCCCAGTTACATTATTGCGAGACGTGGAGGATGGAGCCAACTGGGGCAGCCTTGGAGGGAAATTGAGCTGTCTTGGGGGTCGTCTTGGGGCCTGAGTCGCATTATCGGAGCCTCCTGATGGCGGTGGTGATGATAAGTGGGAAGACCATGACGAGGAAGGTGAGAAAGGAGGAGGCAGTGGAGGAGGAGGAGTAGAAGCAGGAGGAGGAAGGAAGGAAGGAAGGAAGAAAGGAAGGAAGGAAGGAAGAAGGGAGGAGGAGTATCTACGAAGATGAGGAGGACGACCATGTACAGAAGGAGATGGCAGAGGAGACACAAGGACGCGGATGAGGCTGAGGCTCCTACCATCCAGTTCTGTTCAGCTTATGTCAGTACACCTGGCGAAACAAACATTATGGGCTGCACGCGCAAGACGCGCGGATGTCTTGCACCAGCGCTGGCGCTTGCTCCCTGGCACGCGGAGCGCGCCAAGGGGTGCCCAGCGCCGGCCGACCCGAGGAATCCGCGCGGACCTCCGAGCGTTTTTTCAAACTCGTCTCCTCACCCCTCGTCTACTGAAATCGAGCCTCCTCCAGGGCAGTGTTCTGACAACCCCGAGACCCGAAGCAGGCTTCCAGAAACCCAGGAGGACGCCGAGCTGGCCGCCTCCGCTTGTTCGAGGCGCCAGATGCCTGGGCCTCCTTCCTTTCCTTCCCCCCTCTGCTCTTCCAGCTCCACGGCGACCCCGGGAAGGCGCGGGCCTCCGCGGGGCTCCCACGGGCATGCCGCCTGCTCGCCTGCTGTCACCGCCGCGCCCTTTCCCCAGCCCGCCTCACCGGCGCCGCACCGCGCTGGGCTGGGCGCCCTCCCCCTCGATCCTCGCGTCGCCGCCTTCGGCGTCGTCCTTTCTCCTTCTCCCTCCTCCTCCTCCTCCTCCTCCTCCTCCTCCTGGAAGGTCGGCGATCGAGGATCGAGGTTGCTTGTAAGTCTGTCTGTGGCCCTTCTGAACCCCCAAAGGCCTCCGCAAGCCTCGAGGCCCAGACATCATCTGGCGCATTGATTTCTGTCTGATGCGTGGGCCCCCTGACCTCTCGACCATTTTCTCAGGGTATTTGTTTCGCCCCGAATTGTTTTCTGACAGCCCTCGCCACCGGGTTCCTGTACAAGGCGTTCCTTTGCATGCACATCGTCTTCGGCACCGCCTGATTCCGGGGCTTTGCCCTCTCTTGGCCTTGATGTGAGGTCCCTCCTTCTGCCTTCCCCCCTGTGTCAATTAAAGCTGTGCGCGGCCCGCTTAGCTTCGATCGGAAGAGGTGCGCTCTCGACCCGCGGATCAACAAAAACGTTTTCTGACGGCCCGAATCCCGAAACTGGCCTCCGGGGGCAGACATGACGCCAAACCGGCCGCCTCGATTTCTTCGAGGCGCCATACGTCTGGGCTCGACCTTCGAGGTTCGAGGAGGGGGGATATCGGAAGTCTCCGGAACGTGGTTGGCCTTTTGTCCTGCTATCTGTTCTAATTTTGTTGCTGCCACGTCTGGATGTTTTTGGCACTTTCTGGGGCGGCACTACAAGTGTTCCCTCCCCCTCCTCCTCCTCCTCCTCCTCCTCCTCCTCCTCCTCCTCCTCGTCTTCCTCCTCGTCTTCCTCCTCGTCTTCCTCCTCCTCCTCCTCCTGCTCCTGCTCTTGCTCCTGCTCCTGCTCCTCCTCCTCCTCCTCCTCCTCCTCCTCCTCCTACCCTCGAATCTGACATGGGAAACATGTAGCATCGCGCATCACGCCACTGGAGCCCCCAACCCCGTCTTCCTGCGGTATTTTCGAGTCAGATGGACCTGTGAGTGTCCCGGAGCCCGAAACTAGGCGATAACGCCCGTTGTGAAAGCTTGCAAGGCCCCGATGTGAGGGTCCTCCTCCTCCTCCTCATCTTCCTCCTCCCCCTCCACCTCCTCCTGCTCCTCTTCCTTCTCCTCCTCCTCCCCCTCCTTCTCCTCCTCCTCCTCCTTCTCCTCCTCCTCCTCCTCCTCCTCCTCCTCCTCCTCCATTCCTTGTCCTTATCAATAACTTTTCCCTGTTCCCTGTCGCACCCCGAAGCTAATTTTTAGGTCGGGCCGGGCGTTTCGCCGGAGACTTCCTCACCATTTATGACTCTGAAGCTTCGAACACTGTAAAACATTCAAAGATGGAGGGCGGGTGGTTTTCAACATGTGGCTCTCGCCTTATTGCCGTGCACATTTGTTTTTAAGCTTTACAATGGTTTCACGGATTGGGGGCGGACCGTTTTCAAAATGTGGTTCGAGTTTCACTGATTGAGGGCGGCTTCTTTTCAAAATGTGGCTCTCGCCTTAGCGCCGCGCACATTCGTTTTCAACATTCTGTGAGAGTTTCACGAATTGAGGGCGGTTCCTTTTCAAAATGTGGCTCTCGCCCTAGCGCCGCGCACATTCGTTTTAAACATTTGCACGCGTTTCGCGGATTCCCAAGATCAATGTACCAGAAATGGTGTTCTGGAAAGATTCAGGACCATGCGGGTGCAGCAGTTATGTTGATTTGCGGTGTTGATGTCCCGAAGATGGCGTTGTGGCACGATTCCAAATCGTCAGGACGCAGCAGTCAGGTTGATCCGCGGCGTAGACATCCCGAGAACTATGTTTTGGCATGCTTCAAGGTCTTCAAACGGTTGCCTTCCAACGAGGCAGTTCCATCAATGGAAATGAACCGTTGTAGGGGCCTTGGAGGGGGGTTAATTCCAACATCGTTGATGACTCTTGGGTTTACCCTGGTCCTCCTCCGCCTCCTCCTCCTCCCTTTCCTCCTCCCCCTCCTCCTCCTCCTCCTCCTCCCCCTCCTCCTCCTCCTCCTCCTCCTCCTCCTCCTCCTCCTCCCCCTCCTCCTCCTCCTCCTCCTCCTCCTCCTCCTCCTCCTCCCCTCCTCCTCCTCCTCCTCCTCCTCCTCCTCCTCCTCCTCCTCCTGGAGTCCCCCCTCCTCCTCCGTTTCCTGCTCGGCCTGCCCCGTCCCCCTCCCCTCGGGTGTGCTGCCAGGGGGCGGCCCTGGCCCCAGGTGGGCCCCCGGCTGCTCCTGGGGCAGGCCCAGGAGGCCCCTGGAGCAGCAGCCCCCCCCCCCGACCGAGGCCTGGAGGGCGACAGCGACGACGACGACGCCGACGAGGACGACGACGACGGTCACGACGACGACTTTCACGACCACGACCACGACGACGACGACGACGACCACGACGACGACGACCACGACGACCACGACGACGACGACGACGACGACGACCACGACGACGACGACCACGACGGCGACGGCGATGACCACGACGACGACGACGAAACGACGACGACGACGACGAAGGCGGCGACGGCGACGACGACGACGACGAGGACGAGGACGGTCACGACCACGACGCGGGGCCCAGACCGGCGCGACAAGCGATGGGGCCCCCTGGGCCAGGACCGCCACAGGCAACCTCCCATCCTGGCCCCCCCCTCCTCCCGTCCTCCTCTGCGGCTGCTGGGCCCGGGCGGTGTCGCCCGCGCCCGCCGCTCGGGGCTCTGCCGCCCCGCCGCCCCGCGGCGCGCAACCGCTTCGGCGGCGCGCCGCGGGGGGGAGCGAGAGGGGGCAGGGCCTCCTCGGGAGGCGGCGCGGCTCCTCGCCCCCCCCCCTGGTCTTCTGGGAAGCTCTCCGCGGCTTCGGAGGAGGCCCAGAGAGCCTCTCAGAAGGGTGGGGGCCTCCCAAATCTCACGAGGAGGCCCGCCCCCCCCCCCCCCGCCTTCCTCCCTGAAGGCGCGCCGCCGCGCCCCGAAGCGGTGAGCTCTGCCCCGAGAGAGCCGCGAGGAGGCCCCAAGCAACGGCCAGTCTCCCCCCCTGCGCCCCCCCACCCCCTTCCCGCGCTGCCCCTGGGGATATACAAAAAAGTACCGATACCGCTACTCCCCGGACCTCTCCTGGGGTGCGTTCGGAACCCGACTTTCGAGGCGAATCCAGCGGTGGCGACAAGGGCCTCCCATGAGGCCTCAAAAAGGGGAAGACAACCGTATAATACTCCGAGTTTCTTGATAAGCATCGGGGGGGCGTCACCCCCGCCGACAGCCCCGCATCGACCCCCGTCGCGGGCAGCCACCGCGCGCCGAAGGCGCTCCGATCCCCGTCGCGGCGCGACGCCGTGGCGATGTTGACCCCCGTTGGGGGAGTACCCCCCCGCCCGCGCTTATGAAGAAACCCAGAGTATCCCTTTCTTCCTCTGAGCCCTCGCTCCGTGGGCCACGCGGCTCGGGCGCTCCCCGCCGCGCGCGGTGGGGAGAGCGGAGGGCGCCGTCGCCGACGCTCTCGCCCCCTCCCGCCCCCCCAGGCGGAGGAGCTAGGAGGAGCAGGAGGAGGGGAGGAGGAGGAGGAGGAGGAGGAGGAGGAGGAGGAGGAGGAGGAGGAGGAGGAGGAAGAGGAGGAGGAGGAGGAGGAGGAGGAGGAGGAGGAGGAGAAGGAGGAGAAGAAGGAGGCGGAGGAGCAGGAGGAGGAGGAGGAGAAGGAGGAGGTGGAGGAGGAGGAGGCGGACGAGGAGGAGGAGCAGCAGTATCCCAGGCCCAGGCCGCGGGGCGCGACCGCATCGGCGAGCCCGTGGGTGCCCTGGTTTTGCCGCCGCGGCCCCGCCCCGGCGCCCTCGGCTCCCGCGCGGTCCGGTGTACAGGGACAGGAGAACGCACCGTCCCCTCTTCTCAGATCGCACGCTCAGTCACTCAATCACGCACACACACACACATCATCACTCACACTCAATCACTCACCCACTCACTCACTCACCCACTCACACACTCACACACACACGCACTCACCCACCCACACATACACAATCATCATCACACAGGTAGGACTGCTTATCTCCTGGGCCCGCGGTCCTGTGTACAGGAACTGGAGGGCGCTCCTCCAGACGTCCTTGGAGATCCTGGGGTCCACACGGTAGACCACGGCGTTGATCTCCTCCTTGGCCGCTCCAGTTCTGCTGCTTCCGTCGTGCTGAAAGACCAGGCCCCAGAAATTATCTCGAGCACCAAGACAGGTAGCGACGCAGTGGCGAGCGAGTCTCGCACCCCAGGGCCCGACACGTGAAAACCATCAAAATTTCAGTGCTTTCTTGGTGGTCGAAATTCCTTCTGGTGATCCAGGCTCGAGCAGGCTGGAACACCACGACGCTCCAGGAGGACGAAAGCCATGTACACCCACAGCGGCCCTGGACAGGCCAAACCCGGGGGCCAGGATCGGTGCACACGCCCGCCTGGCAAGGCTCACGTCGGGCGTGTCCCCCTACAGGGGGATTTTCGACGACAAATAAAGAATACACCACAAATATTCAAAACAAGGTGAAACATATGCAATAAATAATCCCCAGACTATTTTTGGACTATTTTTTGATTATTGTTTGGACTATTTTTTTGAGTATTTTAATTTTTCGTCGAAAGCCACCCTGTAGGGGGACAGGCCCGACTAAAGGCAAGGCCAGGGATGCGCACACTCCAGTCTGGGCATGTCCCCCGACAGGCGGATCTGGGAGGACGCATCGAAACATCTTCGAAGCATGCTCAACGATAGCCAAACACATACCCACCATATCGTCCCCAGACTATGTTGTCACTATGTTTGGATACTCCTCACATGTAGAGGGGCATGCCCAACTTAAGCGCACACGCCGATGCACAGGCACCTGTCGTCCACTTCGACAGAGGAGCGCTCCACACCACGTGGCCTCGATGCTTCGACTTTCCAGTTGCCTGACACTTGTTCTCCCACTTCACAGCCGCACCGCTGTCGCTCGGATGGAATATTTTCTGAATGGGTTACTCGGCGCGTGATGACTGGTGGGTGGGTGGGTCATCCGCCGAGATGTCACAGCCGAGTGGTTCGCAAAGGCGGGTGCTCTCTCTCTGTCACTTGTTTTTCTTTCTCTCTCTCTCTCTCTTTTTTTTGTTTTCTCTCTCTCTCTCTCTCGGGTTGGACGAGGGTCGACCGCGACGGTTTCAACTCGCACTGCGACAATCCTGGTGCTTAATGCACTCGAGCTGTGATGCTGCTGCTAGTGCAAGGAATTGCTGGGAACAACAAAACTGGTCAAGCGGCGGGCTCGTTTGGGGCCGCGCCGAACTGGGACTCTATCTTCTGCCGACAACAACCGGCTAGGTAGTATTTTCAAACTGCGGACGCGGTTGCGGTCGCAACAGAGACGAACAGAGCGGTTTCGAGTGCGAGGGAGTGCGCGCCACCGAGCTGCTACCATTCCTACTGCTCCAGACATGTGACATGTGATTGCTTGCAAGCCGCTGAGGCGGCCGGGGCCACAACACAGTTTCGCGCCACCATACTACCTCATGAGGTCGGTCAACATGAAGGGTACATAAGATCTTGGCGTGATCCAGAATGGCCATGTCGCATGGCGGTTGCACGTCTCGAGCTGCTTTACTTCAGACGTCGCAGTAGCAGCAGTAGCAGCAGCATCAGCAGTAATATCAACAACAATATGAGGGTAATAGAAAAAGAGGGGGAGGAGACGGGAGGAATGAGAAGGCGAGGAGAGGGAAGAGGAGGAGGAGGGGAGGAACATGAAGGAAGGAGGAAGGAGACAAGAGGAAGCATGCAGGACGGAAGAGAGGAGACGGAGGAGGAGGAGCAGGAGGAGGAGGAGGACGAGGGGGAGGAGGAGGGATAAGGGGGGGAGGAGGAGAGAAGGAAGGGGGGAGGAGGAGAAACGAGGAATGGAGGGAGGAAGGGAGGGCAAAGATGATGATGATGATGATGATGATGATGATGATGATGATGATGATGATGATGATGATGATGAGATGCTGATGATGATGATGATGATGATGATGATGATGATGATGATGATGACGATGATGATGATGATGAGAGAGGAGGAGGAGGAGGAGGAGGAGGAGGAAGAGGAGGGAGGAGAGGAGGAGGAGGAGGGAGGAGGAGGAGGAGGAGGAGGGGAGGAGGAGGAGGAGGAGGAAGGAGGAGGAGGAGGAGGAGGAGGAGGAGGAGGAGGAGGAGGAGTAAGAGAAGTAGGAGAAGTAGGAGGATGAGGAGGCGGAACGCAGGAATGCCTGCCGGGCGCCCCGTCCTGCGCCAGCCACTGCGGCCGCTGCTGCGACAGCTCCTGCGGCATCGGCCCGGCATCGAGGCCGTGCCCCTCGTCCTCCTCCTCCTCGCCCTTCTCCTCGTCCTTCTCTTCTTCTTCCTCTTCGTCTTCTTCTTTTTCTTCTTCTTCTTCGCCCTCCTCCTCCTTCTCCGCGAATGTGCGCCAACTCCTCCTCCTCCTTCTGTCTTCTCTCTTTATCTCCTCCTCTCCTCTCTCCTCGTCAAAATGACTCGCTATGACTACTACTCCCCGCTGTCCCGAAATATCGTTCCGTCAACTTACCAAATTCCCGCGTTTGATCCGCTACCGTGCCTGCACGGAATTGTCGTGTCAGAGTGCTTCTCCGCTGTCTGGTAAAGTTCAAAAACTGTTGTCCAGGGCCAAGCTCCCCTTGCTCGCGCGCACCCGCCGAAATCCCCCCCCCCATCTGGAGCGGATGTTCGAACATTTTCCATATCAAAGTGCATGCACGAGAGAAGGGGCCGAAAACAATCCCTCCCGAGGAGAAACAAAACAGGACCCCCCGAACGGGGTCAACACAGCCAACAAAGGAAGTCCCTTCGATGGGGGTCAAGCCAGGCCCCCCGAGTTGGGCCAACACAACCAAACAACAAACATATATTAAACAACAGCCGTCTTGAAGCCCTACTGGGCTGTCTTGGTGCTCTCTTCGGACCCTCTTGAGCTGTCTTCGAGCCTTCTTGGGAACCTTTTGGGCCGTCGTGGGCTTTCAGATGCCCGAGAAGGCCAACATGTAATACCCATACGATCACCCTTCGGGTGACAAGGGGTTTCTGGGGTGGGGGGGAACCAACTGACGACAACTGAGATTCTTGTGATGGTGTCGGTGCTGGTGATGCGCTGGCGAGCATGTGACGATGCATGATGACGATGCGTGATGATGATTGTGATGGTGACGAGGCATGGCGACGATGCTGGTGATGATCGGGGCATCGCAAACGGGGCACAATCGAAACACCATCAGGAAGAGCACCTGAAGACACTGCGGGGGCAAATACATGACACCATCGGGACATCATCGGGACACCATGTGGTCACCATCGGGATACCATGCGGACACCATCTGGACACCGCCATGAACATCTGTCTATCGATCTCACGATTGATCTCACCATCGGTCACTCTATCAATCTACCAGTCTCACTATCAGTCGGCCTCACTATGAATCACACGATCGATCCCACTATCTATCTATCGGTATTACCACCGATCAGTCTGAATATCCATGGGCCTCACTATATCTTTATCAATGCGTTTCATGGGGCAACCATCAGGACAACCATCGGGACACCGTCGGGACACCATCTGGACACCATCGGGGCACCATCGGGACATCATCGGGACATCATCGGCACACCATCGGGACACCACAGGGACATCATCGGGGTACCACGTGAGCACCATCGGGACACCATTGGGACATCATCGGGACACCAACGAGACAGCATCGGGACACCATGGACAGCATGTGGACACCATGACACCATCAAGGCACCATCGGGACACCACCGGGACACCATCGGGACACCCAAGCCACCGCCTGCCAACCCGGCGGAGAACCATTTGGTCCCGTTTCGCCCTCGCCCGCCCACGCAGCTTCGCCGCGCCCGCCCGCACGACACGAACACCAAACCGGAACCGATCTCCCAGTGGGGGGTTCTCCGCTTCGCTTCGACCTCGCCCCCAAGCTTCGACCTGTCGAAAATCGCAGAGGCAGAATGCTTCCCCAATCGCGCTTCACGATCGAGGGTTCTAGCGGGAGCAACAAAAAAACAACGCAGAAGACCCACAAGGGGGGACGGGGCGCCCCAGGAAGCCGTTCCCGGAGGGCCGTTTTTGGCTTTAGCTCACGCTGTATGACGACAGAGACCGTTTCGCCTGAGAATCCCTCGCAAGCCAAGACTGCCGAGGCCGTTTCGCCGTCGACTTCTCTTAGCACTTCTGCGACCACAGAAACGGTCTCCCTAATAGATGCTCCCACACGCTCCGCCGACCCCCGCCCGCCCGGGGTGGAAGGCGCGTGAAGCATTTGGCTGTCCTCCTTTTCCTCTCCCCCTCCCCGGGGGGTCCAGCACTCCATCGAGCGGGGGGGACAGGCTCCCCAGCGCTCCCCTGTGGCCTCCCAAGGCCTCCACAGAGCCACAGGACGGCCCCCGAGAGCCCAAACGGCGCGCCAAGATAGTCCAATAGAGCGTCGAGGCGGCCCAGGGAACCTCTTCGACGGTCCAGGATGCCTTCGAGACGGCTCACGAAGCTTCCAAACGCCCCACGGGTGTTCCCACAGGGCTGCCGACAGGGCCGCACGAGGCAACATTCGTCCCAATCCCCGGGGGAAGCGTACATTTATAGTATGCTCGCTTTCTTCGTCTTCGCAGCGTCCAAGACGGTTCAAAAGTGCTCCCAAGGTGATCCCAAGACGGCCCATGATGCCCTCACGGGTACCCCAAGACTGCCCCAGAGGGCCCCAAGACGGCCCAAGGGGCCCCTGAGATGGCCAAAGGGAACCCCAAGAGAGCCCTAACAGGGGTTAAAGAGGATGAAAACGAACTGAGATTCCGGGCCCTTCCCCCGAAGATGGTCCCAAGAGCCCCAGAGGCTCCCAACAAATTCCCAAGAGGCCCCCCCAAAGCCCCCCCAAAGCCCCCCAGATACCCCCAAGAGCCCTCCAAGAGGCCACTGAAAAAAGGCACCCCCAGATCCCCTCATGTGCATCCAAGAAGCTCCTGACCCACTAGATCTAACTTCCACGATCGTCGCAAACTCTCAATTCTTCTGGGGGCCGCCTTCCACAAACATCCTACAACGCAATCGCACGCTATGGCTTCCTATGCGAGCTCCACCAGTCCTGCTATGAGGCCCTCATGAGAGCTCCTCCCTATTCTTCTCCTCCTCTCCGACGTGATGCAAGGAACAGCAGATGCCACCAGGCAACTTCCATGCGTTCCCCCCTCCTTTGGGGGTCGGCGGAATGACGTAAACCTCTTGAGCAAAACCATCCAAGCCGTTTCGCTTGGGACTTCCTTACAACCTATGAATACCGACACCGTTTCGCGTGAGACCTCGTCACGATTTGATACAACCTAGGGCATTTCGTCATGTCGTCATGATGGTCAACGCCTTTGTTGCTATTAGGGTGCTGGGGTAAATGCTTTGCCTCTCGAGAGCTTCTTGGAGCACTCTTGGGACGTCTTCAGGGCCTTTGGGCCGTATTGAGGCCATCTTGGGCAATCGTGAGACCGTCCTGGACCGTTCCGAAGCCACCCCGAGGCCCCCGAAAAGGCTCCAAGATAGTGCCCAAGAGCATGGAATCAAGCAAGCCTGGAAAGCCTTTCCCTCCGATGTCCTCCAAGACCCACAACATCGCCCAAGAGGCCCCACGAGGCTCCCAAGACGTCCTCCAGAGGCTCCAAGAGTCCCCCAAGACGCCCCTCAAAGCCTCTCAACAGAACACCAAGGGCACCCCTAACAGCTCTAAGAGCCCCTCCCTTCCTGGTGAGCTGTTGCACAAGCACGGCGGCGGGACTTGCCGCAAGCAGCCGCCGGATATGTTGTATTTTTGTTCCCCGTCGGAAGGTCTACAGTGGAGGCGTTGACCTAAGGAACTCTAAATAAGGAACGAGGCCCCTTTTTCCCATAAGTTCAACCTCGATTTCCCATGGAAAACCTCAGGAAAACCCGAGGCAAACTTTGAGACAATCAAGGAGCACCGAGCCCCTCCCCAACAGAAAGGTTTCCTTCGTCAGCGCCCCGACAGTATGTACTTTTCAAGACGGTGCCCTCGCTGCAGCGTTGGGCCCACTTCAGGATCGGCGATTTACTCCGATCGTTCAGCATGGCGCTCTCGCTCCAGCGCGGGCCCCACTTCCGGATCCGATCCCTTCTCAGTCGTCGTCGCCACCCTGCTTTCCCCTCTCTTCCCCTCCTCCGCCTCCCCCTGGTCCTCCCGCCCCTCCCGCTCCTCCTGCTCCCGATGCTGCTGCTGCTGCTGCTGCTGATCCTCCTGTTCCAACTTCCTCTACGTTCTTTTCCGCATCCGTTCCGATTCCGAGTCCGCTTCCTCGTCCTTCCGCATCTTTCTCTCCTTACTGCTCATCTTTATGCTCACTCACCACCTCCTCCCCTTCCTCCTCAAGTGTGCAGATATCCCCTGTCAGATTGCGCATCGCAGTGCAGCGGTCATTTAGGGGATCCAGGTGCTCTTGGACACCAGTTGGCGGATAGCGGAACTGAATGCGCAGAGGGCAGGGATGAGTGGGAGTCGGATGTCAGATATGGCGCGCGCGTGCGCTCAGCTTGCCTCTCTTCTCTCTCGTCTCGTCTCTCCTCTACGATTGCGACATCAAGATCGCACCCTCCTCTCACCCCAGGTCATGTCCGAGCGGGGCCCCTCCCCCCCCCGCAATCCATGCACGCGCATGACAGCAATTTGTTGTTCAAACATTCTCGGTGATTTCCTCAGATCGGTCACAGTGGCAGTCGCGCCCCAGCGCAGGCCACACTTCTGGATCCGACTCCTTCCTAGTCGTTGTCGTCCCCCTCCGTTCCCTTCCTCTGCCTTCCCTGGTCCTCCTGCTCCTCCCGCTCCTCGTACTCCTGTTCCTGCTCCTGCTGCTCCTCCTGCTGCTCCTCCTCCTGCTCCTCCTCCTCCTCCACCTCCTTCTCATTATCCTTCTTCTCCTCCTTCCCTTCCTCACCCTCCTGCTCATTCTCATGCTCATCCGCCACCTCCTCCTCTTCCCCTTCTTGCTGCTCCTCCTCCTCCTCCTCCTCCTCCTCCTCCTCCTCCTCCCCCGCCTTTTCCTCCTCCTCCGCCTCCTCCTCCTCCTTTTCCTCCTCCTTTTCCTCCTCCTTTTCCTCCTCCTCTCCTCCTCCTCCTCCTCCTCCTCCTCCTCCTCCTCCTCCTCCTCCTCCTCCTCCTCCTCCTCCTCCCCCCCCTCTAATCTACACACACCTCTCTTTCTGGTTGCGCATCATACGATGGGGTCACTTCGGGGATCCAGGTCCGCTGGGACACCCGCCGGCGGATCGAGAAGCAATCTGCGCGATGGGACGGGGTGGACGGGACGTGTACAGCGGCAAGCTTTAGAAACGAATGCGTGCGGCGCGCTGGGGCGAGACACCCATTTTGAAAAGAAAGAGCCGTCCTCCGTCCTCAAAACTGCTGCACACTCTCAAGACGAGTGTGCGTGGCGCGGAGGCGAGACGCCAATTCTGAAAACGACCTCATGCACCGTTGTAGCTGATGCAAGCTTTTAAACATAATGTGCGCGGCGCTAAGGCGAGATCCCCATGTTTGACCCCCCCCTCCATGCTCAGAACTGGTGCAACTTACGTCATACGTGGTGAGGAGGTCTCAGGCAAACCGCCTGCAGGTGGCGACATCCGAGCTCTACCTCCATCAATCATCAATTCTCCTGAATCGATGGGAGGCGAAGGTAGGTTTAGGATTTCTCCACGTGTTCGACGACTTCCGAACCCTACCCCCGCAGCCCATAGAGTTGCCTGAATCCTTGATCGGCAAGGGTGGGGTTTGGATTTCGCCGCCGAGCCTGGCCCGCCCTACCGACACGCCGTGGGGTGCGACAGGGGGGAGTTACGTAATTGGCAGCAACAAGTGTGAAGAAAGATTCCTCCTCCTCCTCCTCCTCCTCCTCCTCCTCCGCCATCTCCTCCTCCTCCTCCTCCTCCTCCTCCTCAGCCTCCTCCCTCCTCCCCTCCTCCTCGCTCCTCCTCCTCCTCACTCCTCCTCCTCCTCCTCCTCCTCCTCCTCCTCCTCTCTCCTCGCTCCTCGCTCCTCGCTCCTCCTCCTCCTCCTCCTCTCCTCCTCCTCCTCTCCCTCCCTCCTCCTCCTCCTCCTCGCTCCCCTCCTCCTCCTCCTCCTCCTCCTCCTCCCCTCTCTCCTCGCTCCTCCTCCTCCTCCTCCTCCTCGCCCCTCGCTCCTCCTCGCTCCTCCTCCGAGGCAGGAGAACGGCGAGCACGACGACCTGGCTCTTGCAGCAGTCCTGCCGACGTTCCCTGCGGCCTCTCCGCCCCCCAGGCCTCCGCATGCCGGGGCCCCGGGGCTGCCTCCTGACGCTCCCCTCGCAGGGGAGGAGGAGGAGGAGGAGGAGGAGAGGAGAGAGGAGGAGGAGGAGGAGGAGGAGGAGGAGGAGGAGGAGGAGGAGGAGGAGGAGGAGGGAGGATGGAGGAGGAGGAGGAGGAGGAGAGGAGGAGGAGGAGGAGGAGGGGGAGGAGGGGAGGAGGGAGGGGGAGGGGGAGGAGGAGGAGGAGGAGGAGGAGGAGGAGGAGGAGGAGGAGGAGGAGGAGGAGGAGGAGGAGGAGGATGAGGAGGAGGAGGAGGAGGAGGAGGAGGAGGGAGGAGGAGGAGGAGGAGGAAGGAGGAGGAGGAGGAGGGAGGAGGAGGAGGGGGAGGGGGGGAGGGGGAGGAGGGAGGAGGAGGGAGGAGGGAGGAGGAGGATGAGGAGGATGAGGAGGAGGAGGAGGATGAGGAGGAGGAGGAGGAGGGAGAGGAGAGGAGGAGGAGGAGGAGGAGGAGGAAAAAGAGGAGCACAATAATCATAAAGATGACGATGAGGTGAAAGAGGGGATGAGGGCGACAATGAATGAGCAGATGGTGACGACCACCATAATGGTTATGCTGGTGTAAGTCATAATGATGATGGTGATGCTGCCAGTGATTCTGAAAACGATCATGATGCTTGCGATGATGATGGTGGCGATGAGAACGAGAAGGAGGACGTTCATGATGATCAGGAGGATGAAGAGAACGAACGAGGAGGAGGAGGAGGAGGAGGAGGAGGAGGAGGAGGAGGAGGAGGAGGAGGAGGAGGAGGAGGAGGAGGAGCAAGGGGAGGATGCGGAGGAGGAGGGAGGAAGGCCCATCGAGGCACAACGAACGGACGACGACGCCGGCAGCGGCGGCCTGCCTGCAGCAGCACGGGGCTCTGGGCGCCCACGACGACGCGGTGCGCCAGGAATCTGCCCCGCTCCCCACCCTGGCGAGTGGCGGGCGGGGGGAGGCTGCCGCAATGCGCCGAGGCGGCGGAACGGCGTCGCGCCCAGCGAGCGCCGCGGGCGGGAGGGGGCGGAGGCGAGGGCGGCCGCGAGGATGGGGAGGCGCAGGTGAGAGCGGCTGCGCCGCGGGCGGAGGGGCGGAGAAGGGTCGGGGGAGGGGATGGGGAGGGGTGGCCAGGGGGGCTGGCCCTCCTTCCCGGCGCCGCCGCTGGCGGCAGGCTCATCCGCAGGCTGATGCCGTCGGCCCGTCTGCTCAGTACTCAGGATGGTGGCAGTGTCAGGGCGTTCCTCGATGCCATCGCAGCCCTGGGCCCTCCTCCTCCTCCTCCTCCTCCTCCTCCTCCTCCTCCTCCTCCCTCACTGCGCCGCGGGCGGAGGCGCAGGCCCCCGAGCGCGGAGGGCGCGCCGCGGGCGGGAGGGGGCGGAATGCGAAGGTTTTTTTTGTTGTGGCACGGAGAAGGCCGGAGCTCTGGAAGAGATAAGGTCCTTGCTTCTTGCCTTCGCGGGTCTCGGGGCCCTCGGGGCCCTTGACGGGCCCCCTGGGCTGTCAACAAAACGGCCCGGGGCGAGGGGCCGCGAACGACCGGGGGAGGGGAGGGGTGACAAGGAGGAGCTGACCCCCCTTGTGTTCTGAAGCCGTAGCCGAGGCGGGCACTGCCGATCAAGACTGGCGTCAGATCCCCTGCCCGCTCCAGCTTCTGCTGGGGAGGGGAGGGCGGAAGAGCAGCTCTCTTGCGGGGCAGGAGCGGCCTGCGGAACGGGCCCGAGGTGCGGAGGCGCAGCCGTGCGCGGGGGGGGGGTCGGAGAACGGAGGACCGACGGTGCCGGTGGCGGTCACGTGTGCACCACAGGGAGGCGGGCCTCAGAGGCGCAGTGGAGGATACCGCTAATGCATGGGCAAGGTCGAGATGCGCAGATAGCACTACAGAAAAAGAACCCAACGAAGGATTCGTTGAGTTTTGCGCACGCGATCAACGCCTTCCCGCCCCGTCTCTCTCTCTCTCTCTTCATTTCTTTATTTCTCGTTGCTTGCTCTTGTTTCTTCTCTCTCTCTCTGTTCTGCTGACTTTATGTCCCATCTAAACTCCTGCAATCTAGTCTACACTGGTAACTCGTTAAGTCAAATATCACACTCTCTTTCTCCGTCTCTCTCTACTGTGCTCTCCGATCTAGAACCGATCGTCTGTGCTATCTACTGTCTCATCACGAGCTGCCTTTTTTGCTCTCCCTTTCTCATTATGCCTATATCGGAAAGAACGCTCGTGGTCGAGCATGCTCTCTCTCTTTCTCTCTTTCTACTCCTTCTTTCTCTTTCTCTCCATATCTACTTATGCTACTACCCTGTTTACGCCATCTACTGTATACCACTGTTATGTCCTCTAGTCTCCAATCTATACTACATATCCTTCGTTCTCTGCATCTGTCATCTCTACGACCAATTGAATATACTTTCTCAATCTGACCTCGATCGCAAAACTCGAAGATAATCCGAGAACGCGGGGACCTTACCGTGCTGGGAACCCTGGATCCGGAACCGTAACCGGGAACCCGGCCGCACACCGACATCGGCCTGGAACCCGGAACCCAGAACCAAGAACCAAGGAACCCGTCCGCTGGCCGAAATCGGCCGAAACCTTTACCTAGTCTTCCAGACTCCGCTAGGACTGCTTCACTGCAAACACTGACTGGAGAGTATGTGTATACGTGGTACCGATATGTGAGTCTCTGTGTTCATGTACCCATCTGGGTAGTTAGTTTTACGTGTATGTCTATGAGTACACATCTATCCGCCACCTTGCCTCTGGGCACGGAGCGGGCGTGTCCTCAGGCCCTGGGCGCCCAAGATGGCTTCGAGATGGCCCCAAGAGGCCTCCAAGACGCCCCACGAGGCCCCCAAGATGCCTTCCAAGAGGGCCTCAAGCGGCCAAAGCATAGATTTTCCAAAGGTTTTTGAAGGATTTGGGCGTTCTCGCCTTTTCGGCTTTCCATCGCTCCAAGACGGCCCAAGAGCCCCCCAAGACCACCCCAAGACGGCCCAAGAGGCCTCCAAGAGGTCCCCAAGATGGCCTCAGAGCGCCCCGAGACGCCCAAAGAGGCGCCCAAGACGGCCCAAGAGGGCATCGGCCCCAACAGGGGCCCAAGAGAGGGAACACGAACTGAAAATCCAAGCCTTCCGATCCACGAGGCCCCCAGGAGGCCGCAACACGAGGCCCCCAAGAGGCCCCAAGAGGCCCCTACGAGGTCCAAAAGATGCCCCAAGAGGCCCCAAAGCCCAAAGCGGCGGCGCCCAAGGGGCGTCCAAACTGCCTCCAAGAGGCCCCCGAGCGGCCTCCCACGAGATCCCAGCGAACATCTAATAGGCTTCATACCCACAACCCAGGCACGGTGGCGGGATGGGCCGAAGGCCATTGGATCCGCCGCCCCCTGTCGATTCATCCCAGGGGTGCATGGCGTGCTGGACCCTCTCGGTTTTGATTTTGGTTCTTTTTCCAACAGAACTCCCCCTGGCGCTTCGGCCCGTCCCGCCGGGGTCCCGTGAGGATTGCCCACGTGCACAAACTCCACGAACCATCCTCCCTGAAACGGCCGTTTCGCCCAGGACATCCTCAAACAATCGCGAAGATGGCCCAAGCTGGCCTCCAAGTCCGCCCAACATGGTCCAAGACGGCCTTCAAGACTGCCCAAGAGTCCAAGACGGCCCAAGACGGTCCAAGAGGCCCCGAAGAGGCCAAAATCATTGCCTTTCCTAGGGTTTTCGAAGGATTTTGGAATTTGCTTCTTCTCGGCATTTCGACGGCCCAAGACGGCCCAAGAGGCCCCCAAGATCGCCCACGAAAGTTGCGACGGTTGCGCAGATCGCAGCCCCCCCAGGGCGACGCGAGGTCTCGAGGTGGTCCGCGTGGGACGTACCTCTGCTGGGCCTCCCATGAGCCCACGAAAGTGGCGGCAGTTGCGCAGATCGCAGCCCCCCAGGGCGCCGCGAGGTCTCGAGGTGGTCCGCGTGGGACGTACCTCCGCTGGGCCTCCCAAGAGCCCACGACAATGGCGACTGTTGCGCAGATCGCAGCCCCCAGGGCACCGTGAGGTCTCGAGGTGGGACGTACCTGCGCTGGGCCTCCCAGGAGCCCACGAAAATGGCGACTGTTGCGCAGATCGCAGCCCCCCAGGGCGCCGCGAGGTCTCGAGGTGGTCCGCGTGGGACGTACCTCCGCTGGGACACCCAGGAGCCCACGAAAGTTGCGACAAATTGCGCAAGATCGCAAGCCCCCCAGGGCACCGCGAGGTCTCGAGGTGTCCGCGTGGGACGTGCCTCCGCTGGGACTCCCAGTGAGCCCACGAAAGTTGCGAACGAGTTGCGCAAAATCGCAGCCCCCCAACGCGCGCGATGTCTCGATGGTGGTCCGCTGGGGGACGACTTCGTGGGCTCCCAGGAGCCCACGAAAATGGCGACAATTGCGCAGATCGCAGCCCCCACGGCGCCGCGAGGTCTCGAGGTGATCCGCATGGGACATACCTCCACTGGGCCTCCCAGGAGACCAAGAACGTGGCGACAATTGCGCAGATCGCAGCCCCCAGGGCGCCGCGAAGTCTCGAGGTGGTCCGCGTGGGACGTACCTCCGCTGGGCCTCCCAGGAGCCCACGAAAGTGGCGACAATTGCGCAAATCGCAGCCCCCCAGGTCACCGCGAGGTCTCGAGGTGGTCCGCGTGGGACGTACCTCCGCTGGGCCTCCCAGGCACCCACGAAAGTGGCGACTGTTGCGCAGATCGCAGCCCCCCAGGTCACCGCGAGGTCTCGAGGTGGTCCGCGTGGGACGTACCTCCGCTGGGCCTCCCAGGAGCCCACGAAAGTTGCGACGGTTGCGCAGATCGCAGCCCCCCAGGTCACCGCGATGTCTCGAGGTGGTCCGCGTGGGACGTACCTCCGCTGGGCCTCCCAGGAGCCCACGAAAGTGGAGACTGTTGCGCAGATCGCAGCCCCCCAGGGCACCGCGAGGTCTCGAGGTGGTCCGCGTGGGACGTACCTCCGCTGGGCCTCCCAGGAACCCACGAAAGTGGCGACAGCTTCGCAGATCGCAGCCCGACGGCACGAGAGAAGAGGAGAGGGGAACCCAGGAGACAGGAAAGGAGGAGGGG